TACCTCATTTTAAAGGGCTTTGGTCATTCGATATACAAAAATGGTATCTTTGTTCTAATTTCCATTTCTCTAGTGCTCAATATTTCAAGGTATTAATGCTCACACATGGCAACTGCGCTCTGCACGGCCTCATACCTGCTGCTGCTGCTGCTGCTGCTGCTGCTGCTGCTGCTGCTGCTGCTGCTGCTGCTGCTGCCGCTGGCTGGCTTTCTGTTTGGCACGGCGCTCGAGGAACTGCTTGGCAAACTCCTTGGCCTCAGAGGTATCTCCCAAATAGGCCCTGATATAATCATGGACCTCGTACGGAGATTCTACTTCCTTCAGGAAAGAAACAAATGTAGGAACTGCAACAGGAGAGGAGAGAAGACGTAAAGAGTAATAATGAAATATCACATACAAAAAATCGGTTTCAGTTTTTAATAATTGTCTCACCCAACAGACATTAATGATGGAAACTTAAAGACATACCACACGTTTAGTATCACTAAATGCTATGCTGATTAAAACGATTGTTTGCCTAAGACTGAAGTCATTTGGGGATTTGTTCTTAAATTCAAACAATACTTATTCAGTGCTATGATATGTACCAGGCACCACGACAGATACTCAAGACACAGCCATACCCTCCTTTAGCGTCACTGAGATATCATACATTTAGAGAAATTAAATGGAACATGCGAGCAGTGTGGTATAGGAGAAAAACACAAGTATCAGAGTTAGACCTGGGTTTAAACCTGACTCGGGAATTCGCTGGCTGTGTGACCTTGAGAAGTTGCTTAACCACTCTGAGCCTCTGTTTCCTAATTTATAAAATGGGTATAACACATCACTTACATTGTGAAAGTATCTTATAAAAATGCTGCAAAAATTAAATAGCTGGGATAGCATACTTTAACCTCTACCTGAAAAGTGCCTAGCACATGGTAGGTACTTAATGGATGGTAGCCACCACTATTATTTACTATTGTTTTCTCTGGCTCTTTCAGACCATTAGATAGTGTTACAATGTTGCAAAGAACGTTTCAATTCCTTTACTACTCTGTTTTTAAAGATTTTTGGTTTTAGGCAAGACATCAGAGGTGGACACCAAGCTGACTAGTCTCTGTTCAAACACTGGGGGGTGGGGAGGGGACCCACTTCTACCTAAGGCAGAAAGTTCTCGGTGAAGAGCTACCGATTAGCAAGTTTTTCTTCAAATTGTGCTGAAATCTTTTCACTTCCACATACTGGTCCTAGTTTCATGCTACACAAAATGAGTCTGCATGCTCTGTCACATGACTCCCAGCCCCGCCCCCAAAGGCAGGAAGGGATAGAGCTCACAGCACCTCAACTTTCTCTTGCCCAGGTTGACCTCTGTCCCCACCATGACAGTTACCTTCCTTTGGACCTGATCCGGCTGGCAACTGCCCTCATAAAATGAGCAGCATGGAACTACGACCGCCTCTATCTTATACGTCGTGAAACAGCCCGAGAGAGCATTTACTTTTTGGCAACCACTGATAACCTATTTGAGCATAGTATGACAGGACTTCTCTCCCACGTAAAATCACATATAACACTGTTAGAGTCAAGTCATTATAGTAGATGCGGGATCTGCCTCCATTAGACTTCACTCCTGAGTTCTGGCCCATCATTCCAGCTTGCCAACTTCTTTGTGGGCCCTGCTCTGCCATTCCACATGCTGGGTTTCCCTCCCCGATTCTTACCATCCAAGTTATTTGCCGTATTAAGGGCATGAAGCATCTGTTCACACCACTGGGTAAATCCATCTTGGGCTTTATTTACTCCCTGAAAGAGCTTCAGCAACTTTTCTTCTTCTTCTACTTTCTTATTCTGCCGGTTAGACACACCTACAGATTTACTAAAGCAAAACAATAGGGCGATATTATATTCCCAGACACTGTTACTATGTGCTTATACTACAACCCCATACATAATGTCTTGGCAACACTGGATGGCCGTCCAGTGATCCAAAGCCTGGCTCCAAAAATTCAAATGTTTGGATTTGGGGTGAGGTAGGCGTTACTCAATACCCCCTTAAAATCTAGCCTCAGCTAATATATTCTAGCTTGTGAACACAGGGCTTCTTTTCAGAGAACTGATGAAATTCTTCCTATGTGTTCTTTGTTAAGTTTTTTAATTTTGCTAAGCCTCAGTTTCCTCATCTGTAAAATTGGGTTATCATAAGGAATGATGATATTGCACGCAAAGGCAAAGAGCGCAGTGTTCTATAAACTGACAGGTATTTGGTGTCCTATTCGTCATATGTTAGCCCTTGATCGAGAAGAAACAATGTGACAACACTACCATTTATTAAGCAGTTGCTATGTGCCAGGCACTTCACTATTTCGCATGTATCCATCTTATCTTTACTACACCCATGAAGTTGTATTATCATCATTTTACAGATGAGGGAACTGAGGCTCAAAGAAGTTCCCCGTTGCCCAAGGTCACACAGCTAATAAGTGGTAGTGCTGGGATTTGGAGGTCACATGTTTAACGCTAAAACCCATGCTCTTCAACAATGCTGTACACTAAGGAAAGAAAGAGGAAGGTGAAGGATAACTAATCTATCAGAAAAATAAAGAGGCCATTACAGGGGTGTTTATAATACCAATTACAGTACAAGTAACTTAAAAATATAAATTTAGGAAAAAAAAAACACTAAGATCTAGGGAATACCTTGGAGAAATGTTCAACAACACAAAAATACACTATTCCTAATATTATTAAGTGTTTACCATGTAACAGGCAACAAACTAGGTGCCCGACAGTAAGAGCCCTTAGTAATAATCCAGATGTGTTTCTAGGGGGAAGAAAGCAATCACCAAACTATGACCTCATGCACTTAGACGCAGATGAAAATAAGTAAAAACTAAATTTAAGAACCTTTTCCCCTGTCCACCCAACATCCCACTCCCTGTATGCCCCTTCCCCCAACCCACCGAGGAGCACAGGTTTGATCACTTTAAGCCCTACCTGAGACTGGCGTTGTTTTTATTTTTATTTGTTGAATTCCTAGGTCCCACCTCTTTCACTGCATCATCCCAGAATCCCATGTTGGAGTTTTTAGTGTCAGCATTACTCCAGATATTAGTGACTAGGTCAGATGCCCACTGGTTAGGGGGACCAGTATTTATAGAGCCCCAAACAGAATTCCCAATGCTGGTGTGCAGGTTGGAATGCTGTTAAAGAAAAAGAGACAAATGACTGTGGTTAACAATAATAAAAAGATAAAAAGGGAGTCCACAAAAGTTAGAAAAGATAACTGATAACATCTGTCCACGGAATGACTGATTAGGAAACTGAACCCACTGTATTATTCCGGGCTCTGTTTGGTTGCTGGTGCTGCTGCTGCTGCTTCTGCATTTGCCTGGCTTCTTCCTGCTGTATCTCCAGAAGCGACTTGGCGGTCCCTGCGGGTTTGCTGATGTTGCCCCAACCTGAGAGTTTCTGCTGCTGCTGCTGTTGCTGCTGCTGCTGCTGCTGTTGCTGCTGCTGCTGGAGAGCTTTCATCAACTCCCTCTGCTGGCGCCTTTGCTGTTGCACAAAAATGGAAGCCAGCTCAGGATGCGGTTTCAGAAATAATAGTTACAAATGTCCGGTAATGAAATGGATGCGAACACATAGCAGCTATACCAAATGAAATATCTGACAGGGCTAATTCCTTTGCTGCAAATAAAGACATAAACTTCCAAAGCTACTAAAAGGAGATTAAAAAGATCAAATGCAGAATTATCTCTTAAAAATTAAGTAGGGCTTTTAGTTTAGCACAGAAATGAAATACATGTTGATTTCTTAAAGCCCTACCAAAATGATGTAAAAAAATATTTTTAAAAAGCATAAACATAAGGACAAAGAGAACAGAATAAGTTTTTAAAAGCTGGAAAGCAGACAAATAATGACAGCCAATGTAACAGACCCAAAAAACTGAAACCTAAGTAAAGGAAGCTCAGGAATGGGCCAATTCATACAGAAAGCTCAGGGCAGAGGTGTGGGTATCTCAAACAGAGGAAGACTGGCTGAAAGCCTGTAAAAAGCAGTAGCGAGACACCCAGACCGCTCTCACCCGGGGGAGTTGGGCAGCTCTCTATCCCCAGCAGAAAACTGACTTTCCTCTTTGGGGAAGCTGAGCCACACTTGTGGATTATTCCATGGGGAAGCTGACCCAGCGCAAGAGAATACACCTATTAGCTACCCACAGATGGGGGACTCCTCCAACAGGACAGCCCAGCCAGAGACCATTATGGCAAAGCCCACCAAGATACTGTACATACCGGAACCTTCAATCATCTTTTTAGTGCCTTATTCCTAAATGTAAACAAACAGCCCAGGATCAACAAATATTTGACATAAGTTTCTAAAGTGAAAGCCAAAAACCAAATCAAACAAACGAAATTCAGAGGAAACAGAGACTAGACAGGCAATTACAGAAGCTAACTTCTAAAAAGCTAGCATCGGTAAGGGATATAGAGGTAAGACAGTACATTCGATAAAACAAAAATAAGAGACTATAAAAATAAAGAACCAAATTAAGTACCTAGAAAATTTTTAAATAAGATAGCATACAATAAATATTCAATAGGAGGACTGAAAGATAAGACTAAGAAAATGTCCCATTGGGGGAAAGACAAAGATAAAAAACAGAAGAGAAAATGTGAGAAAAATCAAAATCGGTCCAGGAGGGCAACATGCAACTAACGAGAATTCAAGAAGAACAGAACAGCTGCACAGCAAGCCAGCAGCGTCCAGGTTGGACCAGGTTAGATTTGGCCAGAACACCTCCAGGGAACACATGAAAATCATCTTAGGTTTCTCTGTGTGAGATGTATCGATCGAGAGGCATTTATACCTTTTAAAGAGTGTGGGAAGACTCATCATTTCAAAGAAAATACAAATGAGGCAATCATTAACTTCTGACAAAAAAAGGTGAACAAGAAAAGACCTGTGATTCTAACTCCAATGACCACTATTATCGTTTTTTCATCAAGAGACCAAAATTAACGAAACCATTTCTAGCCTTAAAGAGAAATAATATACTCTGTATCATTTGTTGATAACCTTTTTAAAAAAGATGATTTCAGAGAAAGTTCAGTCTTTTTCCTTTTTAAGAGGAAAGAAAATAAGGTAAGTTAAAGGTGAAGGAACAGTGTGACCTATCTGATGAGGTCAAGCACACTACCTGGTGACTATGTAGAGACAACTCCCACTTCTCTTCGTGTACCCAGGGCTTCCAGTGAACACCGCCCAGATCTAAAATTGACAACCTGCATTCTGTACCTAACTGACTGCTCTGCCTCAAATCTATCCACATAAAGCACTTTCTTCAAGACTGCTACCTCATGCCACCTTTCCAGAGAAGCCTTCCCAGATCGTACTACCTAAAACTAGACGATCACTACCACCACCAATTTTTATTGTCCATCTCTCCTCAACCAGATGGAGAGCTTTTGTTTCAGACTCAGCTATATCCCCAGTATAACTGAGTAAGTACTCAGCAAATATGAGAGGGACGGATGGATGGATGGAACGGCACCTAATGGCACTCATTCTCTTTTCTGCCAAAAATTGTATTATTCCCTTCCCCTCTTTCTTTCACTCTTTTGTATCCTTCCTATTCCGACGGATATCAACTTACAACTACTATAGGATAAAGACTTACAAACATACCTTATTTCTCATATTGGCCTATTTTACAGTTTTCTAGGTTAGGCAGAAAACCCAATACTCTTAGATAAAAATGTCGTCTGCATTATAAAAACCAAATTTACAAAAGAGTATCTGCATGAAACTCACACACAATTCTGAAAAATCCATGTACTATTTATGAGCTATTCCTTCAAGAGCTACATTAAAATGTTTAAGATAACTGAACACGTATGTTATCCAATCTTAATGTCATTCTTGCTAGATACTGCACATTTGCTAGAATGACCAAATTACAGGCTTAAGAGTTTAATACTGAACACGCAGTTCGGACACACAGCAACCTAGCACTAATAATCACCTTTACTAACCACTAACCCATGATGCCCACTAGCTATTCTGGAACACTGTCTGGGCCACTTTTACTTTTAAAACGTACCTCTTCTCGAAGCTGCCGTTCTCGCTCCTCCTCCAGTTTCTGGATTTCAGCCAGTGACAGTGTTGCCTGCGACTGACACGCTGTTGTACTGGACTGCTGGCCCCACGTTGAAGAAGAGGGAAGCTAACCGCAAAGGAAGGCAGAAGAGTTCACACAGAAATGTGGACAGGCCGCGGGGCCGCGGTGCACACGTGAACCCGGCATTCGGGGTTCCTTCTACGACCTTTCTACACACCCTCATTCTCCCAGTCACTAAATCCTCTGTCATTACGCCAAACCTAGGATTATTTTAAAACAACTGAAAACACACACAATATACTTTTACTTGAGCTATCACTTGAGGAATGCAAATTTGTTATATCTAGCATTGATAGACACAGCAATGTAAAGACAGAAAGGGAAAGGAGGAAACAAAAGAATCACTAAATCTTAATCCATGGAGGCAATAAAGGACATGATGTGACTTTCCAGTAAAAGGGTCAAAGACAAGATTTCTGAAGGGAGAGCTGAGGTGAACAGCTAATGCAAGATGCCAGGCATAGTTCTCAGTAACAGTCACTGTTAACAAAACTGTAGCTTCCAGTTATGGGAACTAAGCTGTTTTTATTCAATAATTCTGTTTTTCCTATCCCTTAAAATTAAAGACTAAAATAGAGTGTAAATGTCTGGTTTCTGAATGCTTTAATGTTCTCGAAAGCCTGACTATTCTAAGAGAATCCCTTGGTTTTCTAGGCCAGGAAAAGATGCACTCTAATTTTGAGTCCTCTTATAGATGTGAAAAACACATGAAAACAACAAAAAACAAATCTAACCAGACTTAAAATATGTTTAAAAAATATATATAAATATGGATCAAAAAAAAAACAAAATGTCCAGAAGGCCCCAAAAAGACGGGCTCTGTAAGCGGGAATGTCTGAAACTGGAGCTGGTGGGTTGAGGGTGCGAAAAGTGTCCGCTGTCACCGCTGTCACAGACATCACCCGATAGCTCTCCGAATGAGTGGCAGCCCTCACCAGTGCTGAGCCTGACGAAGGAATCTCTAACAGGTTTTAGCCAACACGACAGGTATCTGCGGCCTTTCAAGATGTCCCTGTGCCGGGGTGGAGGAGAGGTGCGGAGGGAAACTAAGAAAGATGGGGACTACATAGGCAGAGCTGAGCACAAACAAACAAACAAAACTCTGCTTCTTCTCCACAGGAAATGACTCACTTGGAAGGTGCTATCGAGATCAGCCCTGGCAGCCTCACCTAGGAGGACCTGTACAAATGTAGATGCCTTGGCCCCACACCTGATGAATCAGAATTTCCAAAGGTAAGACCAGATCATTTGCACACACTTGTAATACTAATGCAGACAATCAGCCAGCAACCCACTGATGCTGTCTATAATATGTCACCCCACTATACCCAGAATGGCGGCCAGCACCAGGAAGAGATGCTCTGTCTCCTGAAATGGCCTTTTCCCCTTTCGGGCCCCTCTGAGATCCTTCCCTTTGCTGTGCCAAAGTATACTTCGCTGTACTTTTTGCTCATGGTTCACAGGTCTGCTCTCTGGGGTAAAGCAGAAGAAATGTCTTCACACGACAGACAAAAATGTCGGCAGATAGCTATCGTTTCCCTTAAATCTTATCTGTGCATAGGAAATACTATCCCATGCCTCCATCGACACTGCCTCTGGACATTTTCCAGTGAAACCAACACCCTGGACAGCCCACTCAGAGGAGTGCAGTTGATCACTCGTGCTTTCCAGAACAATCAGAAGCAAACAGTAGAGAATTTGGCACATTTTGTGACCCATGAATGCCTAATATCTCTCACTCATTTTTTAAAATTTAACTTTTTTTCTGCCTTGACAGTGCTCTTACTTTTCAAGATATTTTATTTTTTAAAAAAAAGAAGACTGTGTCCCACATCCAGTATGACAACACAAGGAGCTCTGTGGACCCACTCTCCGGCAAAACTGGTGAAAATTATTTTTAAGAAAAACATTAAACTCTGGAAATGTTCCTAAGGGAATACAACAAATAAAACATTTCTTCAAGAAATCTGCTAAAATGTGGTGAGAACAGAGCGTCTGTGGTACTTGTACCAAGACCCACTCTCTCCCCACTCCTAGCTCAGCCCAACAGAGAACACGGGGCTCCCTCTCCCCCTCAGCGGCCAGGCAGTGGGCTGACGTCCTGAGAAGCTCGCCAGCACGTCTCGACCAGGCTCCAGCCACCGACTGCAAAGCCTACGTTGCAGGCAAACATAGCTGAGGGGTGGGCTTCCCTTCCAACACCTACCCTGCCCACCCCCACCCGTGAAATGGAAACCGCCCAGGGGCGCTGTGCTGAGACGAGCAGGGTCCTGCCACTGCCTGGCTAGAAAGGCCACCATGCCACCAGGGGAGGTTGGCCCAAAAGACCCGCCGCTGCTGCTCCTTCCCCAAGGGCTCAACTCCTAAAGCTGGGATGTCACTCAGAGAAAAGCACACCACTGTCCTCAGCTTGAGCTGGGACTCGACAGATTTTTGCTTGAGGGTGGAGGCAGGAGGAAGAGACTGGACCATGCAGAGCTCCAGCCCTCTTCTCAAAGGGACTGACTTCATTCGCGACTGTGGACCGTGAGGAGTTTCAAAAACCCAGTGAAGGACGGAGTGAAAGGCAACTGGGAGGAGACCCATAGATTCACTGGAGACAGCTAAACTGTCTCAGAGAACCAGAGATAGAGCTGAAAGGAGTCCTCCTGGGGTCAAGGTCAGAGCAAATCTCAAATACAGATCTCAGGAAGAAGCCGGAATTTGGCTGCATCAGTCCACAAAGCAACTCACGCCCCGGGGCACTTCTGAGAACAGAGAACCCAGCCAGCAATTTAGGAGGTTAAAAGCTGGACCTGGAAAAAGACCATCAAAAAGAGGCCTGCACCCACAGGGTGACTGGAGGCGCACCCAATGCCACACCCCCAGGAGCAACAGCAGAGGCTTCACCCTTTGGAGAGTGGGATGTCGCTAAATTAATCCAGCCGGTCGCAAAACCACCAATGCCACCTCTCTTACTATACTCCTCCACTGTATGCTAATTTACCATTTCTGTCTTTACCCTGTGAGCCCTCTGAAGATGGGGGACACTAAGCCTTGTTATTAACCACAGGCCCCAGGGGGAAGTTACGCAGACCCTGCCACAGGTCTGCCCGCCCCCTCCCAACTCCTCCCAGTTCGTCCAGAGCGCCACTGCTTTCCCAGTCACTGAGGGCTGACTACGCAGGAGCCATCCATCCTAGCAGCCTTGGTCTCCCAGACCAAGACAGTCGCTAAGTGTGCTGAATGCCATCAGGCCAATTCGGTCCTGCTGGCCCTTCCTTTAAAGGCCTAACACAAAGTGCACGCATCATGTAATGTTCTGCTGATCAAAAAACCGTAGCAGAAATATTTAACTCAAAGAAAGTAGACCATTTAACTGCCAGCCTTGGCCTAACGGGGAAACGTCGCAGCCGCCCTGCGGGTGCGGGCCTGGGCTTCACCTTCATCTGCGCCAGCTGCTGCTGCTGCTGCTGCTGCTGCAGCCTCCGGAGAGCCTCCTGCTGCTGCTGCCTCTGGCGCAGCAGCTCCTTCTGCCGCTGCAGCTCCAGCTCCTTCCTCCTCCGCTCCTCCTCCTCGTGCCGGAGTCGGGCGGCCTCCTCCTCCATCCGCAGCCGGGTCTCCTCTAATCGGCGCTGGGCTTCTTCTTCTTCCCGGGCCCATTTTGCAGCCTCCTCTTCCTTCCCAGAAGGAAAAATAAAAGAGAGTAAAATTTAATTGTTTTTTTTAAAAAAATCTGAATCACTTTTGAAGGCTTTTCTCAAAAGGTTAGACATCAAAAGTGACAGAGAAAGCAGAAACTTTATGATAACGTAAGTTAAGTTTTCTTTTAAAATATATTTACAGTGGCCACAAAGGCCTGGCATGCCTACAGGATACATTTTTCATTTCTTTGCTCATTTCTACACAAAAGGACTGTCCCTTTGACATCTGTGGTTAAGTACTGATCTCTAAGAGATCCCGCCAGCTGCGGGAAAGTCTCCCGGACGCCGAGGCAGAGCGAGCTTTTCAGGGCACTGAGCACGGGGAGCTGCCAGGACCTCGAGGGGCTCTGATCGCCAGGAAAGCCTCGGCCAGTTCTGGAACCAGAGCGACTTTACAAGACTTCAATCCCTGGTCTCACCCTCACAGCCCACAGGCCCCTCTCCACCCCACTATGTTCCTCATACCCTGGCTCATCTCCCTCTGCTTCCCTCCCAGAGCCAACCGCTGTGCCTCCCCGCCTCCTGCCTCCGCAGCATGTTTCCTACATGTGCGCGGCTGTCTTATCCAGAGCGCAGCTCCCCTCCATCCTCCAGAACTCAGCGCAGATGTCAGCCAGCCTATAGGACGTAACGTCCCCTCTGCCTTTCATTATGTCCAACGCCACCTGTCCTCCTCTCTTTATCTGCTTCTAGCCCACCTGTGGCAGCAACTGTTTCTACTTATCCAGCAACCATTCCTTTCAAGCCTCTTCCTTGTAGACAGAGCCTCCTGTCCTATCAGAGGTTTAAAACGCCAGATTTTGCTTTTTAAGCGTCCGGTGTAAGTAGGGACACCATGTGATCTGATTTGGCCAAAGGGATGTTTGCTGGGAGGCTTCTACAGATGACATCTTCCCAGACGAAAGGAGATGGGTGAGAAAAGGGCCAACTCTCTTTTCGGATGCGGGTTGTACCGGGTATGGTACCCAAGACCCCTAACCATGAGGTGAAAAGTCTGAATCCAAAAGTCAATACACCAAAAAGTAGCAGAGCAGGAGTGTGCAAAGGACCTGGGTCCTTAACGACATCAACGAGTCACTGAAATCATGTGTAACTGCCTCATCTCCCTAATACATGGGGCAAAAACTATTGGGGTAACTATTTAAGTACTTTTAGGTGAATATTTTGATTTTGCAGCTGAAAGTATCCTAAATGTGGCATTTATTTCTTGTATAATTATCACCCACATAGTCTGTGAGTTTCTGGAGGACAGAAAACAATTTCTTTGAAAGTCACAGCCAGGAGCTAGAGACACACACAATTGAAAGTAACATTTTGGATGGGATCCTGGAACAGAAATAGAACATTATGGAAAAAGAAAAGTAATGTGAATAACTACGGACTTCAGTTAATAATAGTGCATCGATATTGGTTTATTGTGACAAATGTATCATAACTAATACAGTAATAAGAGAAACTGTACTATCATCCCAATTTTTCTGAAAATCTAATACAGTTCTAAAAATAAAGTCTATTAATAAAAAACCTACATTCTTAAACATAAAAATGGCGTGCTTGAGGGGTTCTGGCTGCCTGTAGTGGCAGAAGGCATGGCTGGACTAGAAGTAGACAGTGGTAACTCCTGCAGAGCCTTGTGAACAGATTATGCAGCACTGAACTGTACACTTTTAAAGAGTGAAGTGGGATGAGCTTTAGGCACAAGCTGTCAGCTTGCGGATCTTACGTTTGGTTTTTTAAGGATATATCTTCTTTGGATTTCTCTCTGGTGGTCTGCTGCTTTATTGTCTGTTTTGGTTCTTTGATATTTTGTTCAGATTTTGTAACTACATGTGGGACGGTTATTACAAGAGTAGAGAGCCACCTAGGTCTCTTTTGGTAATTTTCAGCAACCTGAAAAAGTTTTAGTTCGGCTCCCTGCACTCCTCCTTCGTCACTAACTCCGAGTTCTAGCAACAGTGAGGAGAGTAAGCCATCTGGTCACCTGCTTGCGCAACAACTCTTCCTGCTTCCGCCTCTCTTCTTCTTCTCTCCTCCTCTCCTCCATTCTTCTTAGAGCTTCTTCTTGCTGCTGTCTTTCCTCCTCTTCTCGCTGTCTCCTTAATGCAATTTCTTGCTCCCTCTGGCGTCGCAAAGCCTCTTCCTATATTAAAAAAAGGGTGTGTGTGGGTGTGTGTGTGTGCGTGTAACTCTGGGTCTCAATCATATTACGTCATAATTTGAAAAGGAACAGGCTATATGCCACCAAAACTATTAACAGTAAATACAAAAAGTATCTTGAGTAAAAAGTATATATGTAAGTTCAGAAGCAGGCACATTAAGAGCTAAAATAATTTGTATTTAAAATATAAAAAGCACCATACTGTGAATCCTATGCTGGTTTCTCCATTAGCTACACTTACTGATCACCCCGCTAGGAAGGGCTGTGTTAGGACTCAGGGTTTGGTTTCTCCATTGGTACCGTTAGCCCCTATTTCTTCACCATCTGAGAACGTAAGGTACAGAGAGGTCAAATCAACACAGCCAACAAAAATGCCTAGTAAGGCAGGAGAAAGTACTCTGGTCAGAAGTATTGAGTAGAGCTGTGTGTCCCACAGATATTAAGTACACAGACAAGGGTCTAGTTGTGAAAATAATTTACTGAGCAACAAAGACTTCAACAGAGTTCTGTACTGCAGTCCTTCTTAAGAGTCCTTACATGCTAACACAGAGGATGACTCTCAGAAATAGTAGTTCTAATCTAATCTTGACACGGACCTTTTTGCTTTTTCACAGAGTACCTTGTAAGGCCAGAAAAAGAAGTAGGAAATCTGAGGTATAGGTTAGACTTTGGGGCTATTACAAAGTGGATTCTTTCAACTGGGATCTTTAAAAATCCCAGTAGAAAACTGGGCCAGGCACATGAATAGGGAGTTCCTCTCACCCTAGAAAAATAAATGACCAAACCACGAAAATCTTTCAACGTCACATTATAAATACTTAAGAAAACACCTAGTTAACTTTTGAGATCTAACTGGTTTAAAAAACCCCAGGAAATTTGCAAAAGAAATCAATTCCAATGTTTTACTAGGGCTGAAGAATATCCCTCCAGTGGCTGTTGGGGAGTAAGACATTCTTTCTAAAGGGAAGTGAGTCATCTAAGGTTCTAATCCCAATCCTGCTGTTGCCCCTGGATAAACCATCTCCCAGAAAAGCACAACCTGTGAAACGATGGGAGCGAGCGAGACACCCCGAAGGCCCCCTCCTTCAGCACGCCCTGCGGTCAGGTTCTCGGAGGTGTACCTGCTTCCTTCGGACAAGCTCTTCTTCCTCCCGCCTTTTCCTCTCTTCCTCCTGCTGGCGCCGAAGAATGTCCTCCTGCTGTCTCCGGAGTTCTTCTTGCCTCTTTCGCTCTTCCTCTTCCCGTTTTGCCCTCATTTCTGCCTCTCTTCTCTCCTGCTCTAGCTGTGATCACACGAGAGCACTCTTAGGAACTTCGAGCCATGCACGGGAACACCCCAACACCACTGGCCGGACTGCTAGGAGAGGACGGATGTGCACACAGCACCATTCACTCGCTTCTACTGCAAGTGGCTGGTGCAGCCAGCTGTGAGAGCGCTGAGCCCTGACAGGTCAGTGATCAGTGACGGTTTTATGCTCGTCTACATTGAATGCACTCCCCCAACTCTTACCTACCCCCCGCTCCACTCTATCACATCCTCGCCATCGCCTAGACCTGGAGAGAAAGTGGCCAATGTGAGAGTAACACCAGCGTTCTCTCGCAGTGGCCATTTCTTTGCTCATCCTCACAAAAGATTTTCTGATTGAAGATCTAATGGTGTAGCTGCAAGGTTTCAACAGCATTGTTTGTAAAGTTGCTGGTGTGACAATTATATAATTCCTTAAAATTTGAAGACTGACCACTTTACAAATCCTATCATTTATAGTTCCTAAATATTAGTCAAATCCAGTACCTACTCACCAGTTCCAATGCCACAGTGTAGTTCAGGCTTTCATTTTCTCATCTATATTCCTAAGAGTCTCTTATCTGGTTTCCCGGAATCCAGTTTTGCCCACATTCCCCAGCTCAACATCTAACCTCCATCAAAACATTACTTCCAGGCTCACATTTATTTAACGCGGTCCTTCACTCAGAAAATAAACCCTAACTTCAGTCTGACACATGCAAGAATCCTCATGACCGGCCTGCCTCATCTTCTTTAGTCTCCTCTCTCATCATTTATTCCTCAGATGCAACAAGGGTCCAGGCCGGATGAAATTAACAAGCTGTTTCCTGAGTCAGCATGTTCTCCTGTATGTCTGAGCCTGTACAGATGTCGTATCTTTCTACTGCAATTTTAATTTTACCTCTTCCTACTGTCGACCCAAAACCTTTCAATTGTGTTAAATCCTACTGAACTTTCAGTGAAAATTAAGCTCAGGTATAACTGTCCGTCAAAAGTGTCCCCCAATTCCTGATCCCCATCTCTCCAACTGGGTAACTGCTGTATGCTTTCTTGATCTACTTGTCTGTATGTCATCATCCCCCCTCCAACACACAGACACACACACACACGACTATCTTTCATCATCTGTTTCCAGCCCAAAGCACTGGGACACTAGAACACACTCAAGAACTGTTATTGTTTCTCACTCATGGAGACAGACCCTTTGCACACACTGGGCACTCTAAGGAGACTATCACTACCTCAGGGGATAAGACTAAAAGTCTACAATGGGAGTATTTTGAGTATAACGTAGGAGCAAGACTCTCTTGGAGGCGTGAGAATCCAGAAATCACGGCGGTAACACTGTGTTGGGAGACATCCTCTTCTGACAAGCACTAAACCCAAAATTCGAGATTCCTCGCTCCTCCAGAACACAGGCTCTAACATTAATGTTGAGCTTTTCGGCTATGTGTCTGGGGACACTAAGAAACGTCAATAACCATCACTATAAAGACTCCAGGTGAGAACTCAAGCTGCACATCAAGGCTGTAATAAGCCACGTAGCGGACATTTTCTTAGTAGTCTCAGTATCTGTAACAAGCGTTTCTACCACGAATAATGCAACAAAAATATACATATGACCATGATCATTAATGTGTCAACCAATAATATCAATTTTAATTTAATTGATTTAACTTAAACTTATAATTTTAACTGTTTGAGGTCTTTTTGAGGATACGTATTCACAGAATATGAATGTGCTTATACCAGCTAAGTAGCAGTAAACTAATGGAAAAAAAGCATAGCTAGCTAGAGATAGAGACATTAATAAACAAATGTCTGCACCCTGCAGCTGGAAGGGATGCCCTGCTGAGGAAAATGAGTTTCAGACCTTTGCAGCTTTGGCCTTCTCCATCTGCTGCAGCTGTTCAAGGGCAGGTCCCGGAGTCGCCGTGTCAAGGGGCAGATCCCAGACACTACCGCCTTCCCAAACTGTAAGACAACGCACACAGTCACATACCCATCAGCATAACGTGAAAACCTGTCTCTGAGTCTCTGAATGAGCTCCAGCATCCATATCTGTTTGAAGTAGACTATACTGTCCACTGGCTCTAGTTTATATCGACTTCCTTCAACACATCTAGAGGAAAGTAAGTAGTACCAGGCGTTTATTGAGGAATTAATTTCGTCTTCGAAAACCCCTGTAAGATATCTGTTTACATCCCCCATTTTTACAAATGAACAAGCTGAGGGTCAGGCAGTTCTGTAACATTCTGAGGGACACAGGGCAAGCACATGGCCATGCTAGGATTTCAACCCCAGTGTATTGGATCCCAAACCCCATGGTATTTCCAACAGTCGTGCTGCCTCTCACTGCACACCAAGTGGAGAATGGAGCTACGAGAGGTACAGCTGTGGAACCAGAGAAAACTAAGTGGTGGCAGCATACTGTGAATGTATTAAATGCCCCTTAATTGTTCATTTAAAAATGGTTACTGTGTTACATGAATTTCACTTTAATAAAAGAGAAAAAAAGAGAAAGAGAGATAAAGAGGCAGAGCTGGAGCTAAGGAGTCCTCTAGAAAGGCTGTGCAGGTCTCACAAATGACACGGGGTCCTCCTGACCTAAAAGGCAGCGCAGGGTCAGATGTGGAAGTAAACAAACAGAAAAAGCCTTCTAAGTCTGTTTTCCTATTGCCAGCAATGACACCACTTTTCAGCGTTCTCTATTTCCTACACTCCTATTATAGTCTATTTATGGATTATAAATTATTGTCTAGATAAAACTGGACAATATTTGTCAAGGACCTTGATTGCATCACACCCAAAGAAATAAATTGTTCCATAAAGTACTTACAGTTTCCCCAAAACTGGAGAATATTTTAACATCCTAACTATAAATGACTACCAAGGAAAAATAAGGTACATACAACATAAGAAGCTGGTGAGGGAGAATAATCAGTCCTTCCCCTGCCATAATCCCCAGGGTCAATGTTAGCAAGAGAACTATGGCCTGAATAGCTCAACAGGGCTAAGAACAATCCATCGATGCCCATGGTACCCAAGAATTTTCAACACACACATAACCTGCTATAAGGACTATTCATGGTTCCAACAACCTGCCTCTGCACGTATCAGACCTTAAGAAACCTAAGTGTTCCACCAACACCAAGATTTTTTAAAAATCCCAGCCCCAAATTTCCTAATTTGATGCTAAAAGATCGGAGAACAAAGTAAGATGTTTGCTTCAAAGCATGCTTTTTTCTCTTCCCAATATTTTTGGGTACCCGCAGTGTTAAGCTATTTATCTACCCTTGGCTCAGAAGAAGGGATCATAACTTATGTTTTTACTTATGCTGTTTTTTACTATGGCAGAAGAGATTGAAACAATTTAAAAGACTTTCCCACACTGATTAGAGCAACATAAAAAAGAGGCTGGCTCAAATTCAAGAAATTTACCTACTAAATAATTTCTAGCAAATCTTTAACAGTATTTCTAACACTTTCAATCTTTTGCTGGGGTCTATTAAAAATTAGAACTTGTTAATGTTCAATACAAAACAGGTTAAAAAAAAGCTGATGTATTTTTTAAAAACTGAATTTTAAAGTCATATGAGTCTTAATCCTTGGAGCTATGCTAAAGGCCAATCTAAGTTTTTACCTGGAGGCTGTGAGGCTGTTGGCTGAGGCTCCCAGATAGACCCAGTATCTGGCACTGACACAGACCTTGTCACTGAGGAAATGACGTTTTGATCAGCTATTCTGCAAAAGGGAAATAAAAAAAATTAACTGTTCTTATCATTTGCAAAAATAAAAAGGAATTCTACATTATCTGTAGGTTTTACAGGTTATTCGGCCAGAAAACACCTTCATTGTTTTAACTAAAACGTAACACTACTAAAGCATTTAAGACAGGAACAAAGATAGAGGCACAATAATTAGACATCTGGACTCCTCAAAGTAATAGCAAATACAGATTCCCAAATAATGGATATAATTACCATCTTAAAAAATCCAGAATATCTCAATAAATCACAGAGGCACGTAATAATGAAAAGACCCATAGACTGTAAGTCAGAAGGTCTGCATTTAGTTCTGTCTCTGAAGTTTTCTGTGTGTTATGACAACTAAGTTCTTCAGCCTCTCACAGTCCGGGTTTGCCCATCTATAATATGGAGACCTTACCACCTAACTTGCCTACCTCACAGGATGGGTTATGGCTCAAAAGAGAATTGTAAGAGGTTCCAGTTAAATGGGACAGTAAGGCTTTGAAGAGCAGTGACTGATACCTTTGCAGAAGACAAAACAAACAGCAACCTGAATGATAATCTGAAACAGCAGAAATCTAAGAGTTCTAGCATAATTTCCTTTTTCTTTCACCTATCTTAACAGCTTTTGGGTTCTGAAAAATTATAACCCCGTGTGGCGTTGTTAAAATCTTTCTCAGGATATCACAGGCAAAAATGAGGTTAAACTTCTAGACTACAACTTTTGGTTGCTGTTTCATAATACTACATTGCTTCTCAACTGTTATTTATTCTTCAGTTATCACTCCAAATTTATTCTCTGAGAAAAATGAGCAAGTAAACGCTTTACCTCCAGCTCAATTATTTTTAAAAACTATCTTGTTTTTTCACACACACCGGTTTTCTGTTGTGTGTGGGTATTTTGATACCAGAGTTCATACATACAGTATTTCCTTTCCTCTCTCTCTCTCTCACACACACACACACACACACAGTGACACATCATGGAATGACCACCAACCTCATCTTCAGGGCCTGGAACTGCTGGAGAAGAAGCGCCAGCTGCTGCTGCTGCTGGGAAGACAGGGCTGCTTTCTGTTGCTGAGCCAAAACCTGCGCGTACTGTTGCCTTCAAAAAGTAAAATAAAGTGTGACCTTTCTATTCATATTTAGTTCACATTAGACAATGAAAGACACATTCCAGTCCACCCCCCGACCCCAAAACACCACCAGAAATAGCTATCCAATCTATTTTTATAATTCTTCAGATTAATAGTTACGCAGAAAATTCTATACTTCACTCCTAGAACTGAACTTACAGATGACATACTTCTGAAAGAAGACAGCAAAAAATCACAAAATGTCAAAAATTGGCAAATTCTCTCAAGACGATAGCTTTTTGTCAGAAAACAAGTTAAAAATAAAACAGATCCAAATAGCTATTTCCACATGAAGCACCCTTTGCAAAAATAAAATTACTTGTATAAAAATTCTCGAATTTATATTTCAGCTTGGAAAATTTTAGGTAAGATTTTTTTCACTAGATCAGAAGTAGACAATTTTTTTCTGTAAAGAGCCAGACGGTAAATATTTTTGGCTCTGCAGACCATACGCAACTACTCAATTCTGCCACGATTGTGCAAGAGCAGCCAGAGACAACACACAAACAAATGGGCGTGGCCGTGTGCCGACCGAACTGCTCATAAAAACAGGTAGCAGGCAGGCAACCAGCCTCGCACGAGACGACAGCCAATCTCACTTCTCCTACAAAGGCACACACAACCTAGGTGCTTCTGCCGTCATTCCACACCACTGCTAACAGCATAAACTTTTACTTCTTTCTTGTTCTCTCATCTACGTTTTTTCTCTGTGGCACTCCAAGTTGAGCCATTTAGGAGGCACTTAGTCCTTAAAATGTGTGTTGACTCTTGCTTTAGGAGCTAAAGAGCTTGCAAAATTATAGTTATGTGTCATCTTCTGCAAACTTCTGGTATTTAAGAAGAAAAGATCAAACTGAGAATGAAGTGGTAATATGCCAGTAGTTGGGTGACTGAAATATCCTATAAACTTCTAAGTTTTCTGCTGTGTGGAACTTGTGAGCAGAGTCTGTCTCAAGGCCCCTTTGGTGCTGCAGTCCGCCCTGTGACATGACTGCTCTTACTGTATTAAGAACTGCTGGTACTGGAGGTGCTGCATCTGGTACAAGGCCGTGAGTTCCTGCTGCCTGGTCAGTCGTTCCTGGTCCAACTCTCCCTGGGAGTGAAGGGATGGAGGGAAGAAATACCACTGAATAAATTGCAAAGAGCCTCAAAGTCACTTAGTACATACACCTGAAAGCAAAATTAATCTCTGACTTTCACTTCCCACTCCACCTTTATGCCCAAAATGCTTAACTATAAAAATTCAGGCATCTTTCAGAACTAAACAGTGCCGTCTAGTGGAAGAAGGTGGAGTCCACGTTATATAAGAGATGGTTCGGGTCCTTATTTCAGCGCTCTCCCCTCCTGCCCTTGAAGCTGAATGCCGCACTGAACTCCAGTTACTACTGCAACTAAAAAATGTATAATTATCCCAATCTTAAAAGTAATTGATAAGTTTGGAGGGCATGTAGGAATTACAGAAATAGGACAAACTAAAAAATAAAATTATCCAAAGGTTAAAGGAAATGTTATGGTAGAAATTTTATAATGGCACATAAGGAATACTGGGAGCCAGTATATGCCTTCTTAAGATGATGAGAAATTTTAAATTAATATCAAAAAGCTGTGAAAACTAAAACTCTCTACTCCAAAGTTAGGTTTTTCTGTTGCTATTATTAATCATAAGTTGGAAAAAATAAACTGGTAAAACTGTTTTTTAACTTATATTTCAAATAACACAGCAAAAATTTAAATTTCTAAAAGCTAAAAGTGGGGAAAAGAATGAAATGTGAAGTGTAAGATGATAGAAATGCAATAAAGCCCCCAACCCATGGTTTCACTTTGAGGTTTCAGTTACCTGGATCAAAAGAGTAACTAAAAAAATTCCAGAAACAGTTTTAAATTGCGCTCCGTTCTAAGCAGCGGGATGAAATCTCACGCCGCATCAGTCCAGCCACCTGGGGCAGGAACCATTTCTGTGCCCAGTGAACCCGTGCTGCAGACCTACCTGCCACTTAAGTCACCTAGTAGCTGTCTGGTCATCAGATCAGTTGGGGAACATTGGGAGGGGGGGAATACCACATTCACATAACTTATTACAGTATATTCTTATAACTGTTACATTTTATTAGTTACTGTTGTTATTCTCTTACTATACCTAATTTATAAATTAAACTTTACCATAAGTATGTATTTATAAGAAAAAACATAGTATATATAGGGTTTGGTACTATCTGCAATTTCAGGAATCCACTGGGAGCCCTGAAATGTATCCCCCGTGGATAACAGGGACAAATGTAAAAGTGTAAGGGTGACAATTACATTTTATTAGTTACTGTTGTTATTTTCTTACTATACCTAATTTATAAATTAAACTTTACCATAAGTATGTATTTATAAGAAAAAACATAGTATATATAGGGTTTGGTACTATCTGCAATTTCAGGAATCCACTGGGAGCCCTGAAATGTATCCCCCGTGGATAACAGGGACGAATGTAAAAGTGTAAGGGTGACACAGCTGAACTCACACACATCATTAGTGTAGCTCATATCTTCATTGTACACGGATTATAGTTTGGAATAAAAACATTTGCAATTCAGGGAGGACATGTTTTTTTTCTCCGTTAAATATGAGAGCTAGATAGAAGCTATGCTAAGTTAATCTAAAATTTCTACATGAAAACCTAGGCTTCAAGGTATATTCATTATCAAGGTGAAGTCTCTTATCAGTGAAATTCAGGGCAAAGGCAACAGCTGATAGAAAGCAGTTTCCCATGGTTTCCCCTTAGGCGAGTCTGACTGAGACTCAGCCCTGTAATGGGAAGTCAGAAATGGATGTCGGTCAGGCTCCAAGTAATGACCTTTCAGCTCTGAAATATGCAAGATAAAAATTATTTTTTTATCTTAATTTCAGAAAAGGGAAATAAAGCTCAAATTTGGTATATAAGTTAAATTTATATCCGATAGTACACAGTATAATTTTTCTTTAAATTTACAACAGAAATATCAGAAATAATTCCCCTTGCCTAGGAATCTTCACTGCTCTCCAAACTATAGGAGGTCTTAACCCGCCAGTGAATTAAGAAATAAAACAGAAAATATGTGCATGGCACAAATTATTTTGTGAAACTTTTTTAACACATACACACACACAGAAATGATGGAAAATTCACTTTTTTTTTTTTTTTACTACGGGCCATGGTCATCTCACCTATGAACTAACTCCCTTCCCTACAGGGGTTGTGTCTCATTCACCTGCACCTCTTAAGAACCAACACAAGGCCCGGCATGGGCCCTCCATGTACAGCTGACGACTCAGTTAGTGGTGGTGCCCATGCAAGCGGTTTTGACTATGGCTGCCCCGGGCTACGGCCAGCACCAGACACGGCCACCTTCAGAAGGAGAAGGCCCAGACTCGAAGCCCCCAAAAGGAACTCTACGGGGAGAGGCTCGGGAGCAGCTGCAAAGGAGGACAGTTCCCGTTTCACGGTTCTCCAGTGTCATG